GGGATATGTTTTATCCACGGCCTCTTTTCCACGTTGGAAGGGAAGGATGCAGGACCTGCAGTCTGCACTGGCAGAGATGGATGGAAACCACGGGGACAGCATATTGTCCATGAGCAATGACCATCAGTACTCCAGGGGCTCTGCAAAGTGTAACTCTGGTTTAGTGTGGTTTATTTCTGTTTTTAATGTGTGGCTGAGGGCTCAGCCCAGCCCTGCCCCTCACAGCCTGGTCTGCAGCAGAAATGCTGCAGGTGCCTTAGAGCTTGGTGTCACCAGGGAGGGACCCTGGTCCAGAGCAGGGGGTGATGTACAGAGCAGTTTGGTGCTGCATAAATCTTTGGTGTGCCCACATCTTGAGTTCACTGTGCAATGCTGCTTTCCCTGTGTTCAGGCTGTCACACAGCGATAGAAGCAAAAGAATTTGAGAAAATCCAGAAGAAGGTAGCCAAAATACTCAAGGGGGTGGAGAAGCTGTCATCTGAGAACAGGCTAAGAAGGCAGGGTCTACAATCTGGAGAGGAGAGGCTGAGAAAGATATGATTGAGGTCTTCAAAATCATATGAAAAACAAGCCCATGGGAGAAATAAATGCGGATTTTCACAAAGAGAATGGTAGAAGGTTTTTATTTCCAGCCATGTTGAAAAGGCAGAGGTCAAAGCAGAGACATAAGAAGGAAGAAATGTTCTTCAAAAAGAAGAATCATGGCTGTGATCTCTCCATGTCAATACAGGATTGTCTCCTCAAAGAGCCCTGACTGTGACCATGTGGAGGCTACTGTGTGACACCTGCCTTTTATCAATTAACTGGTAAGTCAGGTCATAAAAGCACGTCCATCCCTGTCCTGCAGCCATGCTGTGGATGGGATCTACAGCCCAGACACCAGCTGGATGGGATCTACAGCCCGGACACCAGCTGGATGGGATCTACAGCCTGGACACCAAATGGCTGCTGGGCACGTTCCATTCCTGCCCACAGGGGACAGGAACTCGGAGCACATGGCCCATCACAGCCAAGGATGTCACTGTAGGCCTTTAGCCCAAGAAGTCCAACAACTCTTCCAACCCAAACCATTCCATGATTCTGTCTTCACTAAGCTGGAGGGAATGGGATGCAGAGCAGCAAGAAAAAGCAAGGCTGCTGCAGGAAGCAGCCTAGCTCAGCGTGAACTTGAGGAAAAGCTCATGCTTGACTAAGCAGCAGGATTCTTCTCCAAGCCTTCCTGTGTCCCAGCAGCCAAGTGGTTACACAAAACTGAAGTGGGAGCCTTTCCAGTTCCTAACGCAGGGAAGAAAATTAAAAATAAATCATTTCCCACCAGCCATTCAGCTTCAACAAAAGCTGGGACACTTCCAGAGCCAGTCCCTGAAAGAGCTGCTGTGTGGTTTCCAACCCCTCACAAAATCAGGGCAAACTTTGCTGCATCTCTGCCCGGCCTCTTCAGGACCAGTGCTTCCCTGCAGTGGATGCCAGCCTGGCTTCGCTGGCCCCGCTGCAAATCCAGCATCATCCCAAAGCAGGTGATGGGGCATTTCTGCTCTCCTTCCCTCCCAGCCAGCCCTGCCCTGTCTCCTCCTGGTCCAGGGGCTGTGCAGGACGTGGGGCAGAGTGGGGCTGGAGCAGGGAGTGAGTGGCTGTCCTGAATTGCAATCCTGTGGCACTGGAAACTCGCAGTGATGAGCTGGTGCTGCTGGGATTCTGATAAATGAAGGTGATAGCTGTTGGCTGAGTCTGGCCTGCAAAGCAGGGCACTGTGAGATGGCCACAGGGATGGGCTCCTGACTCCCTTCAGCCTCTGTCCCATCTCTCCCAAGCCCCAGCTCTGGGAAGGAGATGGAAAGGCCGTGGTTAGCCGTGGGTCATGGATGCCTTGGCTTCCCTTAGCCTCTCCTACAGCAATAACAGGATCCTTCCAGCATGAATCCATGTTCATCTACCTACAGGGGCCCTACAGAGCTGGTCTGCTCCAAATCATGGAGCTTCTGCTTAACAACTGTCTACAACTCAGCAGGGCCCCATTTTGTGTTGTTGTGACCAGTCCTGGCTGGGATGTGTGCCCTTTTCTTGCCAGACCCATTTTTGTGTGCTAACCCCGGTTAAGTTTGCAGGAGACTGGGAACACTGGACATTTAGGGGTGCCCACCCTATTCCCAGGACCTAGGGAGGAGCAGTCACTTTGAGAGGGTGCCTCTGAGCCTGTAAAAAGGGCAAAATTTATCAAAACCCACTAATGGGAACCCACATACCACTTTTCAGACCTTACCTGCTTCAGAGTGCACTTTGCAAAGCAGAAACAGAAGGAAATGAGGAGGGACTTGGGGAATGCCAGATTGCAGTCTGAGGCAGCCAGGCTGTGCAGTTTTGGGACACTCAGAGAAGCCCCAGAGGGACCTCTGAACTCCCCCCATCTCTTGGCCCAGTGCTGCAGTGTGTCCTCTCCCCACAGCTTGATTGAAGCTGTGGCAGCTTCAGAGGCTGAGCTGCACTTTTGTGCTTTCCAGAGCAAACAGAAAATGGTGTTGAGACTCTGGGTTTGGGCTTTGTCCAGGGCTGGTGACCTTTCAGCTGTCTGCTGGAGGCAGATGTGGACACTTGCAGCCAGCTGTTCCACCACTGTTTGTCTTCCAGGTTTTCCAAGCTGTGGCATCACAGCCTGTCTGCTCCTCCTTTGCTCATCCACCTTCCCCACACAGGTGGGGAGGCAGCAGGTCATGGGTGAGCTGTAGGGTGGGAGAGACCCCCTGCAGCTGGTGTGGGATGAACTGGGAGTGTGGCAGGAGCTGTCTGCATGACTCCAGAACATGAAGAGCTGCGATCAGAGCCACAGACTGTCACAAACCAATCCTCTGGTTCCTCTGGAGATTCTGGGAAGCCTCAGCCACTCATAGCCTGTGTGTGCTTCAAGTGACTGTCGCTGCAAGCAAAAATCAAGCAGTTGGTGGCTTGTTGGGAGTTTCTTGTGGGTTGCTACACCCTCAACTTGTCTGCAGACTTTGTGTGCACACAGCAGCCCCAGGCAGGTGTGTGCCATGGAGCAGGGATCCAGTGGAGACACACAAACCTCACGGGTCAGGAGGCTGCAAGAGGCCCGGATTTCTCCTCCTGGCTGTGCTCAGCTCCCAGTTTTGTCACACTGGAAGCTGATGGGTTCCCCAGCTCAGCAACAGTCTGTGCACATATCCTGCCAATGGTGGTGCTTCTTCTCCAGCAGGAACACGGGCCAAGGAGGAACATGACTAAGGCTTTAACTATTGATTCCTCAGCTCTCCTTCCAGACCACAAACATTCCAGTGAGACTTCACAGAGGGTGAAACAGTAGTATAATGCTTAACAACTGTAGTAGTTTATCTGTAATAAAAAATGGTGGGGTTTTTTTTGATTTTTTTTTCTTTCTTTTAATATAAATAATGTAAGTTACTTAAAGTTAGGAGGGATGGCTGGGACATCACACTTACTACGGTTTGCCAACATTTCTTACTCAGACTATATCCTAACTGCTTTTAGTTTCCTGTTTTCTGGTTGCATGCAGCTGTGCCAAGCTGGAATTACTGGACTGGAATTCAGCTTGGGTGGTTCCTACCGGAGTTTTTGGATGGATAGCAGGGAGGTGGAGAATTTCAGCTCAAAGTCTTTTGGCTGTTTTAAAAAAATTTCACTCAAAACCCCTACATTATTCATCTCATATTAAGAAAAAGGCCAGCAAAGCTTTGCTGGAAAGATTCCTCCAAAGATTTGAGCAGTGGCTTGGTGTGGCATGTCCCACATGTCTGTATTACACCTTCACTTTGAGAAAGTCAAAATCATGTTAGGTTTTCTGTACTTTTTGAGATCACAGTGTGGTTATGCTAGGAGAGTGTTGGTAGTTTTGCAAGTAAAATCCTGGAAGATGCTGCTTTGGCTTGGCCCTGCTGTCAGTGCATGGGAACACCAAGTGCCTGGGACTGATTTTCTCTCCTGGATTTGGTAGGAAAGACATTTCCAGTTTTTCCCTCTTAATTTGGAATGGCAGATGAACAGCCTAGAGGAGACTTGGCCCACATGTGTGAAACTAAGGACTGTCCCAGGGGCTTGTTTTGCCCTTCCTTGGGAGGGCTCAGCTCCTGCAGGTGGGATTCTGGGCTACAGGAAGCTGATGTGCTGGGGACCCAGGAAATCTAGGTCAGCCTTTCTCTTGTCAGGCTAGTGGAGAATGAAGCTGAAGGCCTGCAAAGGCAGGAGTGGGTATAAGCAGATCGCTCTGCAGGCACTGGACACAGACATCTGCTGCCAGGCTGCTCCATGGGCTCTTTCCAGCCACTGGAAAGCAGGTGGCACACCTGGACCCTGAGGCACCCATCACCTCTGGCAGCACACAGGCAGTGCTGTCCTGTCTTTCTGTCTCCATCAACTCTCTGCAAGTCTGGCCTGGGAGCTCAGGCAGCTGTCTGTAGGGGACACACCATCTGTGGTGACCTGACATGCTCCCCCAGCCTGGGGTCACCTCAGGGGGACACATCCCTGTCCATCCCTGCGTTGTGTAAAACCCTCTGCAAGAGAAACGTTTCTACATCGATCCCTCTGGTAGCTCATATTTGCTTGCATTTAGCTCAAAGACCTTTAAAATGGCTCTTGTTTTTTGATGGGGCTGAGGAGGAGCTGTTTGGGGGATCAGTTCAAAACTCAGGTACCTCACTCTGTGCATCTCATGGGTGAAATTGGGCATTCTGCAGGCTCACATTGACGAGTTTCTCCTGAAACCTGCAACCACAGAGTCTCTTTCCTCCACTTTGGCTGGCTGGGGGGCCTTTGTAAGGAGAGATGTCAGAAGCCCTGTGTAAGGAAAATTCTTGCAAAACCCCAGAGAACCAAAGCATGCTGAGGAAAAAGCACTTGCAGTGCTCTGCCAAGGAGTCATGGGATGGGTTTGGGAACCAGTCTGATGAGGAGCAGCAGCAGGATGGCAGGACACCAGCAGGATTCTCCTCTCTGGCCTGGGTCTCACTTTCTGTGATCCCTTGTTGCAGGCAGGGGCCGTGCAGGGATCGGGAGCGGCCGGCTGTGACAGGGGTGGCGATGCCACGCGCGCTGTGACTGTGAGGGATGCACACGGATGCACGTGGAGAAGAGGTAAAACTGCCAGCACTGCCTCCAGGAGGGACTTGCCCCATCTCAGGACTGTGGCACCTGCAGCCCTCAAGGGGTGCTTCACCCCATGCAGGGCTCTGAAGTCCCCAGCCCACCACAGCTCCCAGCTGTGGGGAGCAGGACACGGAGAGCGGGCTGGATCTGAGGTCCAGGATTGCCTGGCCTGTGGGATGGGAACAAAGTCAGGCAGGAATTGGGGTTCCCTGTGGGATCTGTCCTGCTCAGCAGCAGCTCAGCATGTTCCTCTATGGATCTGCCCTTACCCAGGCCAAAGAGGGGTGTTTTTGGTCCGAATCCCACCTCTGCCTTCCTCTGGCACTGAGGGATCAGCAGCAGGGAGGGGCTGCTGACATCTCCACAGAGTGAGAGGTGCTCTGTAAGAGCAGCTGCAGTTCTGCACCCCTTGTTAACAAGAACTGGCAGAGCCCTGACCTGGCCAAGCAATTAGTGATTTTACTGCTAATGAAAGCTTCAGCTCAGCAAGTGAGAGCAGCCAGAGTCTTCTTCTGAACCTGGCCACCCTCCTGGCTGCTCAAAGGTGATGGTTCGCTGAGAGGGAAACTGAGGCAGTTGAATGATCTGCTTCAGATGTGAGTTAGGAACCGGGTTAGAGGGAGAACCCCAAAGTCCTGTCTGCCTGCTGGCACTGATTGGCCAGGCTTCCTGTCCAGATGAATCACAGCCACATCACCAAATGGTTTGGGTTGGGATTATCCTCCAACTCTTGCCATGGCAGGGACACCTTCCACTGTCCCAGGTTGCTCCAAGTCCTGTCCAACCTGGCCCTGGACACTTCCAGGGATGGGGCAGCCACAGCTTCTCTGGGAAATCTGTTCCAGGGCCTCGCAGCCCTGCCCTCTGTGTGAATCCATTTGCCCTTGTCCTCTCACTTCATGGCCAAAGTCCCTCTCCAGCTCTCTTGGAGTCCCTTTAGGTTCTGTATTGGGCTCTAAGGTCTCCCTGGAGCTTTCCTTCCTCCAGGTGTATTGGGCTCTAAGGTCTCCCTGGAGCTTTCCTTCCTCCAGGTTGAACAGCCCTATGAAGACAGATAATATTTTTAAAATATCAGTGAAGACATATATTGCTTAAAACCAAAATCAGCTGTTCCAGTGGCTCAGCCTGGGTGCCATGCAGAATACCCCTGCTTCCAGCAGAGATCATTTCTGGTGGCACTTGGCTGCAGCTGTGGGAGGATCATGATGGAGCAAAGCTTTCACAGCACTGTGGAGCTGAGGATGGTGCCTGTAAGACCTTGCAGACTTTGCATCAATGGGTCTATTTGCCAATAAAGTGCCTTTTTGTCAAAAAATTATTTATATCAATGCGAACCAGTGTCCTTCCCTTGCCCTACAGAGAAAGCATCCCAGGGAATATTCAATCAGGACGCTTTTGCCAGAGTTTTAGCTGGCAGCTTGTGACACCCTTCAGCAGTACTGGTGTGTTGGGAGAAGTGGTGCTCTGGCAGGCAAGATGCTCTGCAGAAATGCTAAGTCAGCAGGGAGAATCGCACAGGTTGGCACAGCACAGCTGCTTAGAACGGCTGAAAAAGAATAAATCACGCTCATTGCCCGTTTCACCTATTTCTCCTGTTTCTGGAGGGCAGGGAGTACCAGGGAATGCCAGCAGAGAGTCTGGGAAATGCAGCCGTGCCACGGTCGTGTCCCCAGCCCTGGGCACAAACAGCCTGCATGGGACACATCCCGTGTTCTGAGGCTCTCTGGGGTTACGGGAGCAGCAGGAAAAGGGCGCCTGGGCCCCCAGTGGTTCAGCACCACAACAGCAGCTTTTCCTCTCCCATCTCACTGCCCTGAGTGAGGAGCCTTCAAAATCACCGAACACCGGAGGAGTCCTTCCCTGCTTTTCCCGTGAGGATGTGAGCTCGGCTGCCCTGCCCTGCCCGATGCCCACGCTGTGGTTTCTTTTCCCTCGCAGGTAGCGCCGAGCCTGAGCCGATCCCTGCCGTGATTGCCGGGCCAAGGAGCGGAACATGAGCGAGAGCAGCCCGTTGCCATGCTGTGCCGCAGACGAGGGCGAGCCGCGCTGCCCGTCCCCGCTGTCCTGCGGCGCCGGGGCCGAGCAGCCGGGGCCGGCAGCGGAGCCTGCCAGCGGGAGAGCCGGCCCCCGGAGCGCTGCTCAGCCCTCCCGAGCGCAGGGGGAGCAGCGGCACCAACATCTGGGAGC